GCATGTCCAATCACATTGAACGGTCACCCAGAATGACCTAGAACACTGAGTCCATGAAAAGACCGGCATAGTCAATGTGTAATTGAAGCCAGGGTTTACATAGTCATTCCCATGTACGTGCTGGCCACAATGTTTGTCCTTGTTGGTCCTTTGGCCACTATCTCACCTATGTAGCATCCTATGCTGGCCACCAGACATAAATTCCTGCCAACATCTTCATTTTGGAAACTCCTGGATGATCTTGGTGGAGTTCAGCAAGTATCTGGCAGTGACCTTTAACCAGGACAATCACATTTACTTCCCATAATAATATGATATCCTCTACAGAGATCTGGTCTCACCGGATCTAGGTAGGTTTCAATTCTGGTTGTGATGCATTTATCTGTGTAACTGAAGACTTTCATTCCTGGAATCATTCTCTCAAATCTTTTCTGCATCCTCTCAAAGTCCTTTACATACTTCTTTATTTGTGTTTGCCAGTATTGAATGCAGGTGGTAAGGAGGGTATAAAGAGTCAGTGAAGGGATAGGTTAAGAGAATGGGCAAAAAGGTGGCAGATGGAACATGAGAAAATGCGACATTATCCACTTTCACAGGAAGACTTGTAAAGCAGAACATTATTTAAATGAAGAGGGATTTCAGAATGCTGTGATATAGATAAACCTGACCTTTCTTGTTCACAAATCTTAATATGTTAGCATGCAAGAACATAAAGTACTTATAAGGTAAATGGGATACAAGACATTTTTGCAAGAGGATGGAATATAAAATTTGGGGAGTCTGTTACGACTGAATACGGAATTGATGAGACACCACCTTAGAATACTGTGTACAGTTTAAGTCACCTTACTTCAGGAGGGACCTATTTACATTGGATGAAGTTCAGAGAAGATTCACGAGGCTGATTCCTGGAATGTGGGGAATGTCGTGAGCAAAGATTGAGGAAGCTGAGCTACTTATTAGAAGAACAAGAGGTGACCCACTGAAACATGTAAATTCTTAGGGGGTGGATGCTGAGATCTTCTTACAAGATGAATGTAAAACCATAGGGTACAGTTTCAAAATAAGGGGTCTTTGATTTAACAAGAGGAATTTCCATTCTTGGGGGTTGTTAGCGTTCAGAATTCTCTTTCCCAAATTCCTTGAGCTGTATACCGGGTCATTGAATATATGTAAAGCTGACTTAGACAAATTTTTGATCAATAAAAGAGTCAAAAGTTATGGAGAGGAGAAAATTGGAGTGAAGCTCACACGTGGATTGTCTATGAGGTCACTGTAGCATGGAGCACAACTGAGGAGCTGAATGGTTTTCTGCTCCTAGTTCTTAAATAAGCCAGTTAAGACTGGACCAGTATTTTATCAAGGATCACCTTCAACTTGTGATAATTTTAGCCTCCATCAGTTGGCATTTCCAAATTAGTAGTTGAAATGTTACGGATGATTATTGTCACTTTACTCACTGTTTTAAACATTAACTCGAGATAAAGCCTTACCGTAGAACTTATGTAATATGTTTGGAGCCAGTGTTGCTGAGCTGGAGATCTATGCTTGAATTTGGCTTTCTTTGAAGATTTCAATACAACAAAAGTTTTAAATGTCTATGCAATCATGCTTTCAGAGAAATTACCATTTCAAAAAATTAGTTGAAACAATTTGTTTCGAGTCTGGTCAAAGCATTGGGGTCTGATGATATTTAGTGACCCACATTATTCAGAACAAATTCTTTACAATTGTTTATATCGAGCACGTAGAATGTGAGTAAATAACCAACTTTCTAAGAATAAAATTAACAGGAATGTAAGGAATACAAAAAGATCTGGAGAAGAAACACCAACTTGCATTTATATAGTGCCTTCAACATATGGTTTGCTGTCCTGTTATGAAGTAACTACAATAGAAGCATTTATATTAAGAAACAGTTGTAGTGTTAGCAATTCATAACAGATAGAAAACATGATACACTCCTAGGACACAAGAGGTGAACATGCCTGTGTGAGGTGTATAGGCCTGGATTACTGTTGACCTGACCCAGTGGGCAGCTTGAAAAATTTCACAAAACCATAAAATTGTGATTAGTGTGCAGACTGCAGAGTTACAGTTGTGTCTGATGTGTGTTCTCCACAGCATTGGCAGCCTGATCAATATACTTGGCTTCTGTTAGCCCAGTGAAGGCTGCTAAATTTGAAAAACTCATGCTAGGTTACGAGTTGGGTGAAACATGCAATCTTTAAAGGGAAAAGTGGTCACTTCTGCCACTGGTAAGTGAGCTCAGATTGGAATGTTTGAGTGTTGAGACCATCACTACTTTTATTTTACTCATTGTTTTGGTTTGGAACGTGAGTTGAAGTTAAGAACTGAACTTTGAACAGCAGCTTCTTTTAAAAGAAAAGTGAATTAAGACAGATGTTTTCTGCTGGGAACTGGCCTGGAAAATAACGCAACTTAATTATTGATGTAAAGATACTGTAGGTGAACTGGCACTGAGGTGTTGCCATGTGCAGGGCTGACAGCAGGTTGGACGTTGATTTGGTCGATCAAGTTAGAACCAGTGCTAGTCAGTTAACCATAGGAAATATTAGAGAGAAAGAGAGAACCAGTTCTGACTGAGTTTTGGCAGTAGGCAGTATGATTTTTGAAAAAATCCGGAGACTCATTTTTTGCTTTGCTCCCTCTCTGGTCTCTGTCTAGTCATCAAATTGTTTGATGTTCTGAGAAAAGAATCCCATTCTGTAAGAAATAAGTAAATATTTCTAGAAGTCTACTGAAACAGTCTGCATTAACCGGTGACTTCAGAATTCAAGCAAGACACACAGATCTACTTGCCTGTGAATAGCCTATTGTCCAAGGAATTCTGAAGGCCCGGCATCCATCGTTTTAAATAGTTTATTGCACTGGCAAATTATGATTCTTATTTTTTATTTCTTTAATTTATCTCTCACCTGTATCCTGTGCACCTGTCTGTGTGTTAATTTTTAGTTGTTAATTTTTGATCAAGTTATAAACTTGGTGTCTGAGAACTGTTGTAAGGAACAACTGAGCAATGAGGTGGGTCACTGTATGTTTTAATTTCACTGTGCTGCAAATCCAGTGCTAGTGAGGCTGTTTGGTTTGGTTTGCTATCCCTGTGTCATAACAAGATTTAAAAGGGAGTTTGTTGGATTTTGATTACTTCACTTTGATTGCTCAGACTGTTAAAAAAGTTTCAAGTTAATCCCTTTAAACTCTGCAGTTTAGATGATTCTGGTTTGGCAGAGACGTACCATTTGGTAAGGCAGAACACTTAGTTGATGCATAATATCAAACTTTATTGAATATAAGCAAAGACCATAATACAGTAATCCAACCACTATAATGATTTCAGTACCAAGCAGAAGACAAATGCTAAGCTTTCAAGAGGATCACAATAGCCTCCATACAAAGACGGTAAAGCAATATATTCAGATACAAGACAGATTTCTGGTTCAACTTGGATTCCCATTTGTGGATAGGAAATGTTCTTCTTTCCTAAGACAGTACATACCAAAGTCCCCAATGACAGAAGTCCCTGACTACGCTGTCCTGAAACCGGTCTTTTCAAAACACCTTAAATTTCCGCTTCGTAGAATTTGAGAACATTTTTAAACTGGTCTATATTCTGGCTAATGTGGGCAAAAGCATTACTTCCCTCAGCCGGAAAACATCCACACATATAACTCTTATTTTACAATAAGTTTGGAATTAAGCCTCTTTAATTAAAACATATTTTAATTAAAAAATCCAATTTGCTTATAATGCAGTGATGCTTAAATTAATTGGTCTTTACCATTGTACAAATTGCCTTAACATAAGAAAATAAAGCAATTTTCTCATAGAATGACAGGCCTACATTCATTAGTTTGTGTGTCTGTGGGTGTGAAACCTGAGGACAGTTTTAGCTGTTAGTGAATTGGAAGCGTTTTGCCCTGTATCTTGCAGACGCTGTTCCTCAGCTTATGAATAAATTCCATTTAAGATACATATTGTTACATTTATCAGTAGAAATTAATTTTAAGTCTTTTATTTCTAATTATTAATTACTTATTTTTTGAATACAAATATAGTTAGGGTACTTCTTCTAATTAATCATTGATTTCTTGGTTGATAACTAAATCTGCCAGTATTTTGAGATTGGATGTATCTCTGCAGCAGCAGCGCAAGATGACTCCTTTCAGACCCAATGTATCAATGCAGAAAATAATTGCTCTCCTCTCTCAGATTAGTTATTTGCGAAAAGCATCTAAAAATACACAGATTAAGCAAGCTGAATCTCAAATCCATACCTTCACTCTACTTATAGGGAAATCAGTTGGTAAATGGGAGCAATCCACAGTGGCTGCTATTCATGGATTGGGTCAGGAGTTGGGGAATGGGGATTATTATGGATCAGGAAGTCAGAAGTAGGGATGGGGAGGGTTCACAGTTATGATGGGGCAGATCAAATGGATCAGGAGAAAGCTCGAAATTCTAATAAGGGGTGTGGGTTCTGAGAGCTAGTGGGCAAGGTTTGAGAGTACTGGATTGTGGAATTTCCTCAGGTTGTCATATTAGGTCCAGGAGTTAAATACAAAAGGACATTCAACTCTTCGATCCAAACAACCATTATCTCTATGTAACTGATTACATCAACCAAAGTTTGGGAAGACTATCGAAAAATCTAAACTAAATCTAAAAAAAACAGAACAACAATGATATAAGCCACCTCCTCCCTGAATCAGTTCAATCTGAAAGTGCGTCAGTTGAAGGCTAGTTTTAGTTTGGAATCCAATTTAAAATGTTTAGACCCCCTACCCCTCCAAACTCTGTCGAAACCTGCCCATTTATGTTAGGGTTAAATTTCACCTGTGACTAGCCTCACAGCCAAATCAGGAATGACATACTAGAATTGAATTGGTACAATTAATTTTGGATTCTCAGTTGCCGGTTGTGCAGAAAAAGTTGGATGTTTTCAGAATAATTCTCTTGTTAAGTTCCCGTGGCCCAGCTTAATCTTTTTCTGGTCCAATCAAGTTGTCGTCCACTGTTACTGTACTTTGATTCTCACAGGGAACCCCATGCACCTGTAAAAAAAGAGTAGATCAACATGTTTATCTGCGCCCTGCAAAATGCAGATATTTCCCTGCACTTGTTAAATAACATAGCTTCCATCTTCTGGATTATTTGGAGAAAGAAGAAATTAAGACATAATAGGGCCCAGCGTACAATGAATTTCTTTGAGAAGCCATCACAAAAGGAAGCTGTGACAAAGTTGATGAATATGCCCAGTATTGGCAAAAGTGAATGGTGTTGCACCTTGCATGGATCTCTCCAAAAAAGACAAAAATCAGAAATTGCTAAGAGTCAACATACAAATTAAGAATGACTGCTGGGAAATATTTGGTGTGGAACTGCCTAAGCGAGGACAGTTTTGTCCAGTGAAACGCTCAAAGTCACTGCAGCATTTTACAAACATTTATCTCCAAAACACGAGAGGCTTAATGTGCTGAACTTGGACTTCACAACACAAACTGAAAGATCTAAATGCTCTGCTCCTGTTTTAAGTTATCACATATAATTTCCAAAAAAAATAGAAATAACACCAAACAATTTCTCTTTGAGATAGTAAGAACTGCTGACGCTGGAGTCAGAGATAACACAGTATGGAGCTGGAGGAGCACAGCAGGCCAGGCAGCATCAGAGGAGCAGGAAAGCTGATGTTTCGGCTAGGGACCCTTCTTCAGAAATCAGAAATCCTGACCCGAAATGTCAACTTTCCTGCTCCTCTGATGCTGTCTGGCCTGCTGTGCTCTTCCAGCTCCACACTAAATAATTTCTCTTTAGTGTTTTCACCAACATTTAAAGAAATCGGAAAGACTTGCATTTATATATGACTATAAGTTGTATCAAATTGTTTTACAGCCAATGAAATACCTTTTTGCAGCGTTTAAAGCGAGTGAAAATCAGCTTTTAGTGTTAACTATGGTGTGAGCAGTGAAGTTTTGGATGAGCTCAACTTTAAGATAAGGGCAAATCCAAGAAAAAAGATTACTTATTCATTCCTCAAGTAATGTTCTGAGGGTATGATAATATAATTCTAAATTAAGATCCTGCATTCAGTGTTTGATTAAGAGCTGGATTTAGTCCCTGAATGTTAGAAAAAAAGCAATGTCTGAATAACAAAACAATACTGTCTCCTAACTTCTCTTCAGTTCTAGGCCCTTCAAAAACAATGCAGAATGTAAAAACAGACAGGAAAATGAGGTACAAGAATCTTGCAGGCATATCAAAGGAAATTGCCAAAAGTCTACCTTTTCCAGGTGCCCATTCTCTAACTGCTTCCATTTTGAGCAAATCTTGACCTTTGCACCTGTAATTTAATCAGATACAATCAGTACGGAACCTAAAGATTTATGATATTGAGTGAAATGTACCAGAAATTAATTCAATAGTTCTATTATAGAGTCACAGAGTCATACAGCATGGAAACACACCCTTTGCTCTGACACCATGCCGACCATAATCCCAAACTAAATTAGTCCCATCTGCCTGTGCTTGGCTCATATCCCTCCAAACATTTCTTATTCATCTACTTATCCAAATTTCTTTTGAATGTAACTGTACCTGCATCCATTACTTGTTCTGGAAGTTCATTCCACACATGAACCATTCTCTGTGTAAAAAGTGCCTCTCATATCATTATTAAATCTTTTGCCCCTCACCTTAAAAAATATGGCCCCTAGTTTTGAAATCCCCCAGCCTAGGGATAAGACACCTGCCATTCACCTTATCTATACCCCTCATGATTTTATAAACCTCTATAAGGTCACCCCTGAACCTCTTATGCTCCAGTGACAAAAGTCCCAGCCTTTCCAGCCTCTCCTTAAAGTTCAAACCATCCATTCCCAGCAACATCCAGGTAAATCTAGGTATGTGTGCTAAATGCTTTCTTAACCACCCTGTCTATATGTGATGCAAACTTCAAAGAATTATGTACCTAAACGCCTAAGTCTCTCAGTTCTACAACACAACCTGAGGCCCTACTTTTAATTGTATTATTTCCTTTCCGAAATAACTCCACAAAGGTCGGTGAGCCATCACCAAGCCACACTTTACTTACATGCAGAGAGTCCTTGACACTGATCCAGCTTCCCCAGAGTCAGCTCTCAGAGTGAACAGAACCTCTGATACTGTCAGCCAGGGCTCCCTCATTGGATCAGATTAACAGCCACGATCAGGGAACTCATGTTCTATGAGGTCCACCTGGATGACTACATTTTCCTCTCAATTACCTGCCACTTAAACCTTTCCAAGTGCATTTGCTGTGCACACAATGACGTAGGACCAATCCGAACTACAGTTTGCCACAGATACAGAGATGGCTAAGGCAATGGAGATTAGTATAGGTTTGTACTCCATCTATAGTGAATTTCACTTTGAATACCATATAAGATGTTCAGTAACAACACTGAGGTGAATCAGTATTTACACTAAACTTTTAAAATTGACATCCCTGAAATTCACTGGGCCTCCCTCAGTCTCCTCCCACACTAATTCCACTATCTGGCAGATGTCCTGTAGCCAACTTTTTTGCATTATTTCACTTTTGACCACTAACATCATCTGAGCTTGATTGATCTACTTTTCCTATATATGTCCACTGTTTACTTCCCCTCTCTTGCTTGTACGTTTTGTATACATTCAGGCTAATTTAGATGCTGTACAGAGACTGGACGCTGCAGGAATTAACATCAAAGCAGTCAGCTCCTCTCTGCTGGTTTGGCACATGTGTTATAATGTGGAGCTTGACCTCTCCCCTCTGAGAATTAAAGCTGAAATACCCAAAGAGGAGTGCCTCACCCTATAACCTGTCAAAGGAGTATGAAAAGTGGTGTAACCTGCCTTTCAGCAACTTCTAGTGGTTAGATAAAATAAAACCCTGACACTCACTTCAAGATCAACAAGTAACTATTTATCTAACTCTAACAGTGAACAAATTAACTAAACTATTAACAAACCAAATAAATCTTGTCTAACTATTCCTGAATAAAGCAAGATTCTAATGGTGTACCAATAAATACAGGTCACACATATGTAAAATAAAAAATAGAATTTAGTCTCTCGAAAGTATAACCAGGTTACGTGTCTTCTGGAATGCTCTGTGCCTTCTCCATTGATTCTTCTTTCAGGAATATTCACTAGATGTGCCCTTGTTATTTAGATTGTGCTTTCTCTAAAACTTAGAGGAGACTGTGAGAGCCAGCGATCGTCTCTTGAGAGCTGAAGGCTGTTAGCTCTGGCAGATGACAGTTAGCTCTCTGGTCTTTGTCTAACGACCACCTTCTTTTATACCCTTGATGACATATCAATATTTCTTACAATAGGATTGGTCCTATGTTGTCAAAACCAAGGGTCTAGGCCCAAAACGTCAGCTTTCCTGCTCCTCTGATGCTGCTTGGCCTGCTGTGTTCATCCAGCTCTACACCTTGTTATCTCAGGTTTAAATGTAATTGGTTTTTTGGTATCTAAGTGCCTGGTTCAAATTGATTGACTAAATTCAAAATTTATTGTCTTAGTAAAAACTGCTGCTTTCCCTGCTAACTGTACAGCCTTTTGATACAAATATTTCAATCTGGGGGATCTCTGTGTACTTGCAAACTTTCAAGCTGCTGCCCACAGACATCCATTTTGAATCTCTAAGTACAGAAAAAGCACATCATCTTTTAAAGGACCATGCAATGCTTTCTCCCCCTAACATCTTACAAACACCAAATTCTAACTTCCTGCCTCCTAATCCATAAGTACTCTACCAAACTTCACAACACATGTCTGAGACACCTATCAGGCTCAGGTAGGAATCTTGTAAACAGACTTGAAATAGGACATTATTTACAATGACTGCAAAGCCTTTTTTTGGTGAAGTATCTTCTGTAAGCACTTAGTTGAACTTGTTGATCATGAAGTGAATGCCCTCGGTGGCAAGTGAGACAGTTATTTTTTGTGGGACCAGGAAACGCTAGAGTGCTCTTCGAATTTAATCCTAGTGGTTGCAGTCCTGGGCCCCCCTCACACACTTCTGAAATTGTAAGCCTTTACCTAGCCTTCTCCTACCACAGGTCTGACTGCAATGCTGGCTTCATGGTATCCAGGTTACCCAGCACTGCCTTCGGCTTTCCAGCTTGCCAGTTCTACATAAATGAGATTTTGCACCTGGAATAGTCTGGCTCTCCTGGACGGCAAGCTTGCTGGCTGCTAAAATGAGAAATTATTTTCCTCTGCTTCTGCGTCTATTAATTCATGTACTTATTAAAACTCTTACTCACGCATCTAGGTGGTGAAGAGTTCCACTTTCCATTACTCAGACATGTTATTGTATCCTCTCCCACTATCTTGAATCCAGATTTACAGCTGTATTTGACGGCCAAACTACAGATTGAAAAATGGGCATTTCTCACAACAGGAACAGAGCCACAGGGGGTCACTGTAAAGAGAGTAAACAGACATTAATTAGGAAATGTTACAGAGAATATTTGAACAATTGTGGGTGTCCAGCCAAAGGTCAGACAGATTGACAGAAAGATGGTTATCAAGTGAGTCTTAAAAATAAATCTTAAAAGGAAATGAGGATGATGAAGACATTGAGGAAACGAGAGGAAATTCCAGTGTCTAGGCCTTGAAGACTGAGAATATGAAAGCCCAGCCAGCAATTGTTGGATAAAAGGAGGGGCCACAGTTATAAAGGTAATGGCAGAGTTCAGAGATATCGAGGAGCAGAGCTTTTGGAGAGAGAAAGAGGAGAATCTAAAGCACAAAGATAAAAATTTTAAGTATGGCAAGTTGAGGACTGAAAGCTGGGCCATATCAGTCAAAATAGGGGTGAATGCAACTTTGTGTGGACTGTAAACTTGCAAAAGAGTTTTGGGTCAGTTGACATTTATTGACCATTAAAGACTGGAATTTGGCCAGACATTATTTGGAGTAATTGAGTATTGAGAGAAAAAAAATGCATGGATAAGAATTTCAGCAGTTGATATTCTGAGGTAGAGGCAGGGAAGAATGATATTTCTGAGGTAAAATAGAAAGGTTTGACTGCTAGAGGGTGTTTGGGTGCTTCTGACATCTTGGAGACAATGGTAACAATAAAGAGATAAGGACTGCAAAATTCTCTTGTGAGAAATATTTTGATTTCTATGGTTTTTATTGTTTATTGAAGCTTGAAACTGAAAATTTTTAGCTGCTCTTGAATAACTGGATCAAGAAGATATTAGGCCAGCTGGAAACAGTTCTCCACACTCAGTAATTTCTTTAATGTGCTTCTTTTGCAAATCAGTTCATGCTGCTAATGGCATCTGAGGAAACCTACAGGCAGCCTTGAAGTGTCAACTGAAAAAGGGAATCCTTATGGGATCAAGCAGTGAACACATGCAGTTGTTTTAAGATAGCAAATTATTAGTTATGTTCACAAATTTTGTATTTGAAAATCAGAATGAAACAACTGTGGCAAATTATGACAATAAGGTGAGAGTGCTTGGTTGATATTCACAGAATTATAGCAGAGAAGGAAGCTATCTGACCTGTTGTGATTGTACTGGTTCCCCAAATGAACAATTCACCTAATGCCAGCTCCCCCATCTTCTCCCTGTAATCCTGCATATCGTTCCTTTTCAGATAATAATCCAATTCCATTTTGAATGTCTCAGTTGAACTTGCCTCCACCATACTCTCAGGCAGCATATTCCAGATCTTAACCTCTTATTGATTGAGGAAGACTTTCTGTGCATTGTCATTGGTTCTTTTGCCAATGATCCTAAGTCTGTGTCCTCTCATTCATGATCCTTCCACCAATGAGAACAGTTTTTCTACTATCTACTTTTTGCAGACATAACTTGAACTGGATATTGAGGCATCTCTTTTCATTCAAGGTGGGAATGGGATAATTATATGCGATAATGCAAATCTAAAATGTCAGAGATCTAATTTTGAAACTGCAGGTGGATCCCCCTGCTCTTGAAAAAGCAAAGTGCACGACTAAATCACAAAGAAATGGTTTTCAAAGTTCTAGACCTCAGCTTCTCTTAGCCCTTTTATTACACCAACAGATTTGGGTAGTTCAAAAATAAATGAATGATAATGCCAGCTTTCTGGAGGCTGGGCCAGTCCTCTAATCCCATACCTTGAGCATCCTCTTTCCAGTCACTGAGGTCTACCTTTCGTATCTTGCTGCACTCCACATACCCTTTTGGGTACTGATTGAACTTAAATGCTTCCTGAGGAACAAGTTTAATCCCGGTGTTGTCACAGACAATCCTGGACAGGGAGATTTGAGAAAGAGCCTGGCGTTGGCTGCCTGAGAAAACTCCTTGATTTTCCCACCAGAATCTAAAGGAAAAGAAGAACTTGCATATGCATTACTGCTTTCACAGCATCAATATCCCACAGCTTATCAAAGATAATGATAAACACTTAAAGTACAGTCACTTGTAGTTTAAGGAACACAGAAGCTAATTTTGTGCATAGCAAAGAACAGTGAGATAAATGACCAGATGCGCTGAGTAGAGGGAGAAATATTAACCAGGTTTATGGGAAGCTTCCTTGCACATCTTCATTTTCCCTTGAAAGGGCAGAAGGATCTTAGTTTAGCACTTTATCTGAAAATGGATCTCTGACTGTGCAGCACTCCTCTAAATATTCACTAAGATGTAAATTAGGATTGTAGGTTCCTTGTGAGGTACTTGAACCTATGTTAGTTGAGTTCAGAGCTGAGAATGCTTACAGAGAGCTAAAGCTGATGTCTGATAAATCAAAGGGAAAAGCATCATAGAGAAATCTCTGAAATTGCTAAACTAGATCAGGTTGCAATGTGCATGATTGAGGCTGCTTCCTGTTGTAATGAATCACATGGAAACAAGAGGAATCTGACAATATTTTGAGAATTATTTGAGATTTACAAATCAATTGTAATCAATTCTATAAGGGATAATCAATAAAGGACTTTCACAGGGTGCAAAAATTATTCCCAATGATGATTAACATAGCAGAACAAATATTTTCAAAAAGTGAAAGAGCTGTGAGAATGTGGAGTACTTTATCATCCACCAGACTAAACTGAGACATCATTCATTTAAATGTGTGACCATACTATGGCTCTAAGAGGTGTATTTTGTCCTGGTTTTCTCATGAAGAGAGCTTAAGAAGGGGCACCAAGTGGTCTGTTCCAAGCCAGTAAAGTAAACAGCTTGTGAGGCATTTTTTTAAAAAGTTGGAACAGTAGAAGCAGCATGAATGGGTGGACTCAGGCTCCTACAGAACCAGGGTCTTAGTTTAGCTTTCAGTAGTTGTTGGGGTTTCAAAGTTGCCACACATCTCTCCCTGCTACAGCAAAATGCTTGAGTTCATTCTTCCTCTACCAGAATTTTCTCTTGATGCTCTTTCTTCCTGGACTGTAGAAATATTGCATGTGAGACAATCTGTTTTTCTGAATTTGGTTTACCAAGAATGTGTTTAAGGGTCGTTACTATATTGGAACAGTTGCTGTTTAGTAAATAATCTATTATTCTGTTAAGTTTTCCAACACAATTAATGTTACACCAATCCCTTTTTTTTTCCTTGTACTTTAACTGTAGAGTAAGAATTAAATGTGTTTTGCTTAAAGTCGAGTAATATAACCAATGAAATTACCCCTGGAACACAGCACCTTACACTTGTCTTTAAATAAAAAAAAGTTAGCCTAGACCATAGTTCCTTTATATTTTGAAGGGGGTTTGGTCTGGTCCATAATAAGTGGAAACTGGGCAATTATTTGGAAAGAACTAATATAAAATGATTCGGGAAAATGCGATCAGATTAATTCATTCTTGTTGAAAGGCAAACATTGATATTTGCATGAAGGATCAAGGGACCTCCTTTAAGACTGTGAATTCCATGGCTTCTACTTATTCGATGAGTGCAAATGCACAGCAGAGAAAGTGTATTTGCTATCCTAAACACAGTAACAGTGGACTTTCAGTTAGACTAAAGCAGCTATTTTAAGAAGGTCAGGCAGGAACTGCATTCATTGACTTCATATGTAGTAACTAGTAAACTCAGGAGGGGAAAATCAACTTTCCCATATTTGACAAAGAGACTCAGATTCTCAGTCAGAAGATCTAACTATGACTGTCCAATGAGTTCACTCAACAAACCCAACTGGTGAGTTAGGAATAATAAAAAAGGTCACCATTGTCAACAAACTGATTTCTCTGTTGTTAGTCACCATTTAACCAAAACAGACACTCTAAGCATTGCCCTTGAGGGCATATGTCCCATGTTTCCTGAATAGCCTTTGGTCCTATAGCTTCTTGGCCAAAGCCTAATATCTATCAACCACACTTTCTGACAAAGCTCCAATTATATGTGGAAATATCTCAACATTGTTATTGTAATGTTGGTTTTACACTTTACTTAAGTTTCAAATTTCTTCAGAACACTAAGTGATCACACAGTTTCCAACTGACTGAAGGTACATCTACAGGAAGGCAATAGCTGGTGAACAGTCTTCATACATGTTGGTTCATTTTGAAGACTGGAATCATATTTCCACAGTCTCTGAAAAGTGGCATGATGTAATGGAATGATTTGTTGGTTGATCAACAATGTGACACGCTTAGCACGCCCATTATCAACTTCGTACCTTGTAGTATGGTTCTTCATCTTATATGGCTGGAAGGTTTTATAGGATCTCAGAATTGGGAATGGAGGTGGGAACAAGAAATGATACCCACTGGATCACAGATTAGAGCTGCATGTCAACCTAGAATTCAGAGCCAGGAGCACTGGTTTCCATGCCTTGAGACTACCTGAGGCTGGGTGCGAACATTGCACCTTCAGACACAAGAGTGAAATTGTAACACAAAGCCAACTGTTTATAAACACAACTTAAAATAGCACAGTGACTGAGTGGTTAGCATTGCTGCTTCACAGCCCTGGAGAGCTGGGTTCGATTCCAGCCTCAGGTAGTTGTTTGTGCGGAGTTTGCATGTTTTCCCCCGTGACTGCACGGGTTTTGTCCAGGTGCACCAGTTTCCTCCCATAGTCCAGGGATGTGCAGGATAGGTAGGTTAGCCATAATAAATTACCCAGAGTGTCCAGGGATGT